GAGAGAGAGAGAGAGAGAGAGAGAGAGAGAGAGAGAGAGAGAGAGAGCGCACGCGAAAAGCAGAAAAGAGACACCTAATTGGTTCTCCGTGCGTCGGATCGGCGGGCCGACGTGCGGACGTGCCCCGGATCGAAGGAGGCGCCATCGTCAACGAGCCCGGTTATGAGGTTATCGTCGTCAGCATCGCGGACGTGAGAACCCGGACCCGGACATCGGATCGTCACCGTCGTCGTCGCCGTCCCCGTCGCCGCTGCCGCTGCTGCGGGCTGCGATGAAGCGCGCGTGATCCTCCCGGCGACGATGTCGCGTAATGTCGGCGGCTCTTCCCGTTTCTCACGGCCGGTTACCAGCTACAGCGCGCGTCGTCACGCCAGTGCCCGCCAGGCACGGTCCCGCGGAACGTCGGCCGCGCTGTTCTCGCCGTCGCCGCCGCCGCCGTTCCGCCGCGTATGATTCATAAGGACCAAGCCCGGGACTGCCTTCAGGTAATCGACGTGTCTCTGTCTCTCCGAATCTTTGAAACTTGGAAAAACGGAGCGAACAGAGCTCCGGGGAATCACGAGCGGTCTCGACTCCACCTGGTTCCGAGAGTCATTAGAGTCTAGACGGAGCTCCGGACGAGGCGCAAAGGAGAAAGGAGATATTGCGGAGCAAACGCGCGGCGAGAGCTTGCGTTATAAAAAATATATATGTGTGCGATGACGTTTCTGACAGCACACTGCATTACGGAACGGTTTCTGACGCGACGCGACAGTTTCTGATTATTTAAGCACGTGTACGTGGAACATAACGCACTGCGATATTATTGTTTTACGTGACTGCAAAATTTGATGAATATTTTGTTGTGGGAATCGCCATGTTTTAAATAATGACTTTAGACAGTTTGACATCCCGTACGTGTCTCTCCAAGTCGAAAGTTGATATGCTATAGTAATAAGAGATTTTATTGTTAACCGTATGACCCATGATATAGAAAGATGATCTCCTTATTAATCAGAAGAGAGCAAATTTTGCAATCTTATAGAAGGAAGGATATAATTAAGCATGTGGAGCATGTTTTGCATTGTGATATTTTCGTTCCACGTAACTGCAAAATTTGATGAATATCTTGTGGGAATTGCCATGTTATAAATAATGACTTTAGACAGTTTGGTGTCTTGTATGTGTCTCTCCAAGTCGAGACGAGAGTTGACATTCTACTAATTATTATAAATTATCTTCGTAATAAGAAACTTTATCGTTAACTATATGATATAGAGAGATAATCTCCCTTAACTAGAAGAAAGCAAATTTTGCAATTTTGTAGAACGAAGGATATAGTTTTATGTTTTCTTACTTCTTCTTTCATTGACACATTCATTATTGCATATATTTATTATCTTTGATATAATGTAGACTGCATGCAACGTATTTCAATAGTAACGCTCAATGTATGTAATATTTTTGTTAAAGGGACAGAAGCCAAATTTTATATATTCGGAGATGCTAGAGGTTGGTCTGCGAGTCGTCCGCGGCCAGGACTGGAAGTGGGACGATCAGGATGGCGGCGAGGGTCACGCCGGGACGATAGTAGAGATCGGCAGGCCTCCCTCCACCGGCAACTCGACCTCCAGTCCGAATCCCACCGACCGAACGCCGGACAAGACAGTCATCGTTCAGTGGGATCACGGCGCTAGGAGCAATTATAGGATCGGCTATCAGGGTGCTTATGATCTTCTGGTGTTCGATAACGCGGCCGCTGGCGTCAAGCACTCTAACATCATCTGCGACGGTTGCAAGAGGCACGGGATAATCGGCATCAGGTGGAAGTGTACAGAGTGTTTCGACTACGATCTCTGCACGCAGTGTTACATGGCCGACGTGCACGAGTTGACTCACACCTTCGAGAGATATCAAACAGCGAATTCCGTCGGGTAAGCGTTCGCGTAATTGTAATTAAATTCGTGTTAACTCATCCTGATGTATAATCGCGGTTTCCAATTGAGCGCAGAGTTCGTTTAGGACCGAGAGAAGGCTGCACGAAGATACCTCTGAAGGGGATCTTCATAGGAGCGAAAGTCATTCGCGGACCGGATTGGGAATGGGGAAATCAGGACGGCGGACGTGGTATTCACATTCTGTTTAAATCATTTATACGAATTATATAACCGCGTAATAAAGTCGCCGATCTCTAATTTCTCGTCGGATATCTCAGGGAAAACCGGCAGAGTCATGGACATACGTGGATGGGACAACGAGAGCAGTCGATCCGTCGCAACCGTTACATGGTCCACGGGTAGCACTAACGTCTACCGATTAGGCTTCAAAGGCTGCGTGGATCTGTGTTACGTGGAGGAGGCCAATGCTGGTACCTATTACAAGGAACATCTTCCATTACTCGGCCAACCGGTCTTGACCGTACCAGATAACGGAAACAGCACGTCGCCGACGAAGAGCGGTATCGCCAGCATCACGTCTAGTCCACACCCTTTAACGTTTAACGTTGGTGACAAGGTGAAAGTGCTAATGGAAGTCGATACGTTAAAAGAGATGCAGGACGGTCACGGTGGATGGAATCCGCGTATGGCTGAGTACATAGGAAAGGTACTTCACAAATGTCATACGATTGTTTACAAATTGTTCCCTAAACAGTAATTAATGTCAATTAAAGTTCAACTTCAGGATTTTAAAATCTTCTTGAATCTCAGTTTTGTCTCTGGAACGAGACAGAAAAAAAGTTAAATTTTAATTGAGATTCTGGGAGTATATTTTATTCTATTAGGTTATTTTTTTTATTGGGAAATCAATACATTTAATGTATTCAATTAGAATTAATATAAAGAAATATTATGGAATTTAATTTTTCAATTTAAAATTTAGATTGGCACGGTGCACCGAATTACGGACAAGGGAGATATCCGCGTGCAGTACGAAGGCTGCCATAATAGGTGGACTTTCCACCCGGGTGCTCTGACGAAAGTTACCGCTAAAGACGCGTTCTCTCTTGGTGATATAGTCCGCGTAAAAAGCGACCTCGCCGCCGTCAGGCAATATCAACGTGGCCATGGTGAATGGATAGACGTCATGAAAAATGTTAGTCAGCAATTGACATGCTGGTTTTTGTTATTTAATACGACTATATATGCGAAAGTAATAGACGAGTGTGTGAGATATCGAATTTTATGCTTGTCGCAGGCTCTGGGGAAAACCGGGAAGGTAATTAAAATCTATTCCGATGGCGACTTGCGCGTGGCGTTGGACGTACACGGTCATACATGGACATTTAATCCTCTGAGTGTCGTCCCGGTATCTTCTGGCACGAACGCCACGACGGCCGCGCATGATAATGCGAACAGGAGTAGAGATCGTTCGAGTACGTTTATTTTTATTATATACGAATTTGTTAGTATTAAAATTAAGAAAGATATCACATATAAATTTATGTTACTGTGTGTAAAACGAAACCGTCTGTTTGATCTGTTCCGTGACGTAGTGGACGGTACTGATAGCGAAGTAGAAAAGCTGTTGAGGGACGCCGCAAGAGGCGAGGCCGGTGTGGACGCGGTACGAGAATTTCTCAAGAAGTATCCTGGCAGGGTGGACGCGTGTGCTCCCGGCGGTGGCAGAAAAACGTGCCTGCAGGTGGCCGCGCACCAAGGTCAGCGCGAGCTCTGCACCCTCCTTCTGGACGCCGGTGCCTCTTTGCGTGCGGTCGATGAGGACGGAGATACGCCGTTGCATTACGCGGCATTCGGGTACGTTGGAAATCGTTGCCGGAGCTTCCACAGCAGCGTCAATTACATCGGTATTCTCTCTCTGTTAATTAAACAGCAATCAGCCGGAGATAATGGACCTACTGTTATCGCGAGGCGCGGCCATCAATGCCGTCAACAACGGCAGATGTAGCGCTCTGCACGTGGCGGTTAACAAGCAGCACGTGCAATGCGTGAGGGTGCTGCTGCGATATCACTGCGA